TTGGCTGTATTGGGATGACAGATGTTAGATCGTCACGACGAATTAGACTTAGAGTTGATTTGTAAACGTCCGAACACAGCATCAAAGCGCTTCTTCTAGAAAGCTGCATGGCATGATAACCCTTCTTCCGTAGTCGCCGCAAACTACATTACTAACCCAGCTGACGGGACAGCGCACAGCGGCAGTTTCCCAATTTTCTGTCGGATCTCATCAATCATCTATCGATATTTTTAGGCATTCCAAACACCGGTCTCTTGTTTTCAACCGGGAGAAGAGTTTACGGTGAACGTCGCTGCCTATTTGAGACATGAAGATAAGGATTGCATTGGAATAACTACCATTTACGTAACCTTGAACCTTCAATGTATGAATACTTCACGCCAGAAATCGGTGACGCGTGGACTTACGGGTGATATCACCCCTGACTCATCCCTTATTCAAATTAAGAGGAAAGTTGGCAGAGCACACGGTATAAAGAAAATAGGTGATAGATGATGCAGATAATAAATCTATTTATTAATACGTGAAGCAAAAACTTTATACCCTTTTTTACGAAAATTGCGCGGACGGAGGAGTATGAAATTACCCACACTTATATAGAATTTAGAGAAGGAGTGCAGAATGCTAATATATTTTTAAGATTATGCATAAAAATACATTATACCATGTATTTGACACACACACGCATATATACTCTTTTGTTTATTGTTAAAGTTTGTGGTCTAATTGAGAATAGATTAATATTGTTGGTCTTTATTTATGTCTATAGTGTAGCCTTGGCGATATGTGATTAAAGAAGTAAAGCTTTTGACAATAGAACCATAATAATGTTCAAACTTTTAATTTAAATTAATAATTATAGTCGAATTTCGACTTCTATTATAATATTGTTATATAGTTATTATAATTATAATAGCAAAGTCGGAGTTGTGGCCTAAAGGATAAGACGACCGGTGTTCTCGTGTAAAGCGATGCAATGTTGAAATCCCGCAGCAAAGTTTTTCTAATAGTACTTTACAAATCTTCACGAGCGACTTCCAGGATGAATAACGTCCTGCTTACTTCTGCAGTGAAGCAATGATTTCACTGTCAACCATGATTCCTCATAATGATTTAAAGAGAAAAAAAAAGGTAGCGTCTTTTTGAACGAGTTATTTAATTAGATAAAACTTGTCATAGTCATGCGAGTGTACCTTATAATTGCAAAACCAATACGCGTGAGCGGATGTTGTTATTAATTTTACAGCGAAATAATACTAAATAATTTAAATCAAGTATGACGGAAATCATTACCCAGCAGATTATTAATTGAATTTTATATTTGAAACTAACAATTTACTAGGGGGAGATATAATGACAGGGCAATGAAAAATCTAATCAAAACAATAAGCCACGTTTCATTTTTTTTTTCATTAATCAATTGTTGTATTGTTTAATGACAGAACTTCCTGTCGATTTTAATGACCTGTGTCGCGTGTTGCATGACCTGTTCGATTTTCAAAATTAGTTATTGGCGTGTCGGGTGACACGTGCAACCATAGATTATACACTCGTGCAACTGATGCTAGTTTAGAAGAAAAAAACCACTACAACATTCCACCCTCATAACTAGATGGCGCTTGTGTTCGCGATTGTTACACAAATAATTTATATCGAAGCAATATTATATACCATACAAAGTTTTGAAATGGTGCTTAGTTAGCTTAGTTCCCGCTTCTTTTGAATAAATAATCCAGTAATCACGAGTAACTTTTTTTTTGCTTAGATGGGTGGACGAGCTCACAGCCCACCTGGTGTTAAGCGGTTACTGGAGCCCATAAACATCTACATCGTAAATGCGCCACCCACCTTGCGATATAATTTCTAAGGTCTCAAGTATAGTTTCAACGGCTTCCCCACCCTTCAAACAAAAACGCATTACTGCATCACGGCAGAAATAGGCAGGGTGGGGTGGTATGGGATGGGAAGGTGGTACCTACCCGTGCGGACTCACACGAGGTCCTACCACCAGTAAATCTAACCTAACAGTAACCTAAATGCGGTGTCTTATGAGTACCAAAGTCGACGAGCCTGTGTTACTTTTAGATGAACGATTCAACGACATGTCACTGTAAACAAACTATTGTGAGCTTCTAGTAAGATAATAAAACATATTAATAAAAAAGAAAAATCGATATCAACTATATAAATTGGGAAATACATAATAAGTAATACCAACTTACAGATAAAAAAGGCAGCGGCTTGGCTCTGCTCCTGGCATTGCTGAAGTCCATGGGCGACGGTAACCAATCAACATCAGGTGGGCCGTATGCTCGTCTGCCTACAAGAGGGCAATAAAAAAAAAGAAAGAATGATCGATTAGATTCACCCAGCAAAAATTTAACACACAGAAAAAGGCGCATTCATAACTACCTCCTTTTCTGAAGTTGATTAAAAACAAAGATACGGCTACGTCTCCAGAAATTTCAACTCTATAGCTTGGTACCTAACAGCGCGGACTCACAAGAGGTCCTACTACCAGTAACTGCTTATAAGTAGTACGATCATATTATGTTCCTCAAGTTCTGAGGTACATATTATAAAAATCGCATTGCTGTACAGAATTTGTTTGTCTAGATTTGTCAGATTATTAGACACCCCAATTGTTTTTCTTAGATTTTTTGAACTCCGGCATATACCTAGAGAAACCTGTTGAGTTTTTCGCCGGATCTGTTCTGTGGGTCGATTTTGCCGGTGTTAGATCCAGCGAAGCACCGGTCTTCCTAGGATACATGCTAGCAGCGTCTCTCAGGCTGAGCCCCATGAGCTGGCCCACCCGCTACGGGAGCAGTAGCCGGATACGAGTAGCCCGTCGAGGGTACTGGTAGTTTGATAGGCCAAAAACAAACATAAAAATTAATAGAAGTTACGAATATAGTGATCGTCTTACCCACCAAGTCACTTTTTTTGTTTTCCTACCTAAGCTGATAGCCTTGAGAGGCTATTTCAGCTTCTGCTTCACGTGTAGGTGAGCTCACGGGGCTTTAACCGGGAGTGTTGCTAACACTGGCCCTAGCAAGAGCAGTGCTTCGCAGAATCTACAACCGGATCGGAAACGCGACCCACTGTGAAGATCCGGCGAGAAACTCAGTGGGCTGTGTCTGTGGGTTAATTCGCTCGTCGAGCCCTTCGTCGCAAGCGACGGGTTCGTCGTAACAGATGGCCTCTAAGTCACAAGAACTAGGCTTGGAAGTTTTGAACAATCCATTATACACACCAGACCTTGCGACAACAGATTTCCACTTATTCCAAAATATGTTCAACTTTTTGACAGAAAAAATCAATACATGAGAAGCAGTACAAAAAGGCTTTGAAGAATTTGTTGCAGTCTGAGGAGTCTGTTGTTAATATCACATCGGCTGGCGAGTTTTTTAGTGGAAGAAAATTTGGCTTTGGTAGTACATCAATAATTATTATTTGTTAACCCACTAAAGGAAAAACATAAACCATATAACAAAATATAATTGAGAAAATGAAACTCATATTTATGATTCTAACTAATACCCATTAGTTTACTTTTTTCCAATACAATTGAACCACAGTATAGCCAAAGAAGCCGCTACTTTTACGTCGTAAAAATACTTATTATGGTTGACAATAAATCACTTACTTCAATATTTTATGACGGCAATTTTCGGTCATCCGTATTGTTTTATTGGTTGTATATTATTGTGTAACACCGGGGTCCAAGATCGTTTATGTTTTATTCCTCCATTCTTTAGAATCCTTCTGACTTCAAAATGGAGACCCATTGTATTTTGCTATGGATGAACCAAGGCAATTGTCATAATTTATTTCTGTTTTTGGTAGCAAGTGATGATTAAATAAAACTCATTATGGTGAAAACGAAAAAAACGTATTTTTTTGGTGAATATTATCTACTTGCGCGATAACATTTAACGGAGTCAAAAGTTGAATGGCCACGTCTCTTTCTGGCAGAAAGGTGCGCTTAGATGCATATAGCACATCCCTACTTGGACTGCCAAGTTTCCAGCGCTCGTTTGATGTCTCTTATAAATGAGTCGTCTATTATCAAAGGTGGCAATCTGTGCATTTGGACAAAAAAATGTTATTGATATGTCAATACAGATTGATTTGAATATAATCGTCTCCTTCAAAGAAAACGGTTCAAACCCTGCATTAAATAAAGGTTAATACTTAACCTGTTATTTATCAAACTTGTCGTTCAGAAGAGTTTTGTGACTGCCAAGGGAATACAAAGTCAATAATTCGTTTTTCTGATTTACCAAGAATTGTCCAAAAGTCACATTGCCGGCTTTGATAATAGTCGACTCAAATATTGTATTAGACCCATATTAGAACCCTGCAATCGCCTGACAACTTTACGGCTACTGACGGATCGTTCTCCCGTTTCCTTCTAATGCAGAAAGGCTGAGTTATGTGGAAAAAATTTAAGTTCGAGTAACCATAAACAATATATTGAGAACATTATCAGGTACACATTTCAATCCATCGTTAAAACGATTCGTTGGTTTTAAAACAATATAAAATACGAAACACTTGAAATTCGCGGCCATGATTGAGAAACCAGAAGATCAAAAGGAAACTACGAAATGAAATGTTTTGTTTTGAAATAATTATCGGGTATTAAACAAATTTCAAAAATTTACATTTTCACATAAAATTTACAAATTACCCGTGTCCATTTATTTATCTAATCGTTGTAACCGAGAGATAACAACGTCACACCTAAAAATAAATGCTGCTAATTTCAATACCGCCCAGAGAACAAATTATAGGCACAATTTCAGAGTATAAAAAATGTATATACATATAAGGATCTATTCTTAAATGTCTCCCCTTTCAAGACTACACCTGTATCCCGTGACAAAAAGCGTCCTTGGATCCATTGACTCCATTGTTAAAGTTTGCGCGCCAAGTGGCCGAAATCGGCGCATGAGGCGATGCGCGGGAAAACTGAGCGTCAGTCGAACGCAGAAAGAGCCCGCGTTCGGTCGCAGCCACGCCGAACCGGCTTTTAGGTTAGAATTGGCGCGTCGTATCGCCAGGTGTTATTTACTCCCCCGCTCTAACTTGCCGTACGCCGTATAGTCTTTCTCACCTGCCCTACCTGCGGACAACAGCTGTTTTCTCTCGAGAGATTAGTCAGATGTTTCTTGGCAACCAGTTGAAGCTCACCTGACTCGTTCGTTAGACATGGCTGCTGGAGGACGAACACCTAAACAGAGGAGATTCGAGATATCTGCTGGAATGGCAGCCTTAAGAAATGTATCTAATACACCAAGGAGGCGACGCGGAAGCTGCAAGTGCTTATTCGGTGCGCCTGACAGAGATGAAACGAGGCGATTAATGGCAGAACAATATGCAAGAGACAAGAAGCGTTTCATTAGAAGGTTTAATTTTGACATAGAATCAGAGTGTGCTTATAAAGCAGTGAAATTGGATTCTCCTGTTAAGTTCCTCGAGGAAGATAAAGAAAATTCAAATAGCCCCGTGAGGAATGGAACTGAAGCATTGGCATGTGTGGAAAACACTGACTTGAGGGTTTTGGGGTCACCATCTAGAAGGTCGACAAGCAATAGTAGTTCACCGCGAACCCCTCGAACACCTCGCACTCCGCGGGCATCTCGTACACCAAGAACTCCACGAACGCCTGCTTCTAGACGACAGCTCCAAATGACAGGTACCAAGTAAATTAGTATTACTACCAACATTCGATTGTTTATGTTAACATTTTTTTACTATTCACTTGTCATTAAGGAAAAATCTACGGAACCAATCTAGTTAGTTATACTTTTAAAATAAGTATTTATTGAAAGTTTTTCACACGAAAATTGCTTGAGGCCACTTCTTGGAGATTGGTAAAAGGATAAACAATAAATAGTAGCAAAAGAATAGGAACAACGTAATATAAATTATTATTTTCCTAAATGCACATAAATTTACCCGTCGTCTACAATTTTATAATGTTCTTGGTCAAACTCATTTAGTATTCTGACGCCGTGATGCATTATAGTCAAGACGAAATAGGTTTGTTGCCAGACTTTCTTTTTGTAACGTCATTGTATTAATGTTTGTGCAAGTGTCGGAAATCAGCTTGCTTATCAATAAGAAAGCTATTAAATATTAAATGGTCAATAAATAAAACTTCAGTGTATAAGGTAAATCGAATTTATTTACAACGTCTTTTTTTTACTTTACTTACCTACAAGGATCATTAGATCCAATACTTCGGTTCGTTACCGTTAAATATATTTTTTTAATTTTTTAAAGATGCACGGATTTGACACCAGTGGCTTTACACTCGACTTCTCAAACAGTAAATGTGATAAAATCTGCCAAATGACTACAATTCCAAGGACTTCCTTGTTGAGTATTTATTGGTAATCAGTATAAAGATTTCTTTTATATAAATCTATGGACATGGAATGCGGAAACTCACATATTTTTGTTTTCTTTGTGAATCTCCGATGCTGCAAACACTTTTGAACGACTTAGAATAATTTATTTGATAAATATTTATGAAACCTATCGCAGTTTATAAGAAGCTTTAGGTTTAGCTGATGCGATTAATTGCGTTTTGATGAATACGTACTTACCTACGAGAAATTTAATACGCGAAACCAACATAATGTCTATATTTAATACAAAATAATAATAAAAATCTATTGATTTCAAGTCTGCATACAATCTATATACATAAATTCAGAAATAGCAGTAGAACGGTTAATGAATAAGAAATAATAGATTTCGTTTAAAGTTTGAAAAACAACTTCAATTTGACTTAAACTAAATGTATTGTAACAAAAGGGAAGGACAGATAGTTTGTCTACACTTCTATACTTATATCTTATATCTTTTATATATTAGATCTTTATATATTAGATTTACTAAAACTCCAATAATGTAACTCAAAGTGTAAAAAAAATACCTAAAATATTCTTTACATCGCGTGCCCTTCGAAAACTATTGATGATAGAATAAAATAATCTACTACGACTTTGTAGAACACATTTTTATTTACAAATAGTGTCACGACAGCTCATATGTCTAACTATTATAGTTATGCCGCAATGAGTGCTCTTTTGTTAAAAAAGAAAACAACGTCGTTGAAATTTTTGTTAAAGACCCGAGCGGAGCCGGAGCGGGCCGCTAGTTTAATAATAATTTTAGTTGATATAGGTCCATTATTGCAGCATCAAATATTTACACCGTATTAAAATACACTTAAATTGGAGAGTAAAGCCTTGTTCGCACTAGGCGAGTATTTTAGTCGAGTACCAAGTAATTTAGTGGGTAAACTACTAGCTACCCACCCGATAAAAATAGAACAAAATGGATTGACTTGACTAAATTATTTACTAACCTACTCGACAAAATTGTTGGTGTTGAGACACCTTTACCTACTAAATTACCCGGTACTCGACTAAAATACTCGCCTAGTCCGAACAAGGCTTAAGGGTCGCACTATCTTCTAACATAAAATTTTTCAAAAGAAAATAAATAAATATTCAATTTAATGCTCGTTATGCTTTTTTTGGCGAAACCCTTTTTGTGTTTTTGTTTTGTTTATTAGCGGTCCAGAAAAATTGTCTTGCATTGTACTATGGAGGTATGATGTAATAATGTACGACAGGTAATTTGAAAAAATATGTGCTTTTTTTAAGAGCTATATTTGTTCAAATTAATTAAATTACGTGACGTGCTTTCCCAAATATCTTACATCACAGTTATTATTTTTCGAACTGTGTGAAACAAATCTAAAATGTTTGAATATTTGTGCAGAATTTCCACGATTCTATTCAAATATTGAACGTTCCAAGTAAATGTATGCTAGAAAATGCTCCTTGTAATTCAATAGAGCGTCTAAATCAGCGGCTCTCAACCACCGTGTCGCGACAAATTGGTCCCAAGCCCTTGTCAAGTGTGTAGAGAGATTTACAAATACGATATTTTTATCTAAGCTGACCCAGAGGAATTGTATTTCTGCATTGAAACTATTTACTAGATTTTAACTGAGCAATCAAATAAATACATATCGCGGTTTTGTGACGAGACTGTCACTGCGTCTTTAGGTAAAAAAGTTTGAGAGCCGCTGGCTAAGCCCCTTTTTAGTCAATCCACGTTGCATTGAACGTGATGTAAGCGACTCGTTTATCCAGATTTAATATTTTACATAAAGTTGCATTTATCGTCGTTTTAACATCTAACTGGTCTACGGATTTTTACCTATGATTGAATTGACAGCAAACACATTAATAGTTGGGTATCAAAGCGGGCGGCCGGCTTTTTTTATTTTTTTATTGCCTAGATGTGTGGACGAGCTCACAGCCTACCTGGTATTAAGTGGTTAGGTTAAATTAATCAATGATGTTTGGTACACAATCGTGACCCCGCACGGGTAGGGACTATTCTGCCTATTCCTATCGCAAAGCAGTCATGCGTTCCGTTTTGAAGGGTGGGAAAGCAGTTTTATTTATTTATTGTTTTGATGGGTGGACGAGCTCACAGCCCACCTAGAGTTAAGTGGTTACTGGAACCCATAGACATCTACAACGTAAATGCGCCACACACCTTGAGATATAAGTTCTAAGGTCTCAGTATAGTTACAACGGCTGCCCTGCCTTTCAAATCGAAACGCATTACTTGAGCAAATCAGTTCACAGTCCATCTTGTGTTAAGTCGTTACTGGGGTCCATGGACATCACAACGTGATGACTATGACCATTCAAACCGGAACAGTCAACTGCTTGGTAGCGTGTAGCATTATTACCTAGCCGCGTGGGCGAACAATAAATACAACACAGACTAATAAAAGTTTTAGGTGCATATTAATTATGATAAATGATACCTACCTTCTTCCGCTTTTAATATGATTTTTTTTTTATTGCTTAGATGGGTGGACGAGCTCACAGCCCTCCTGGTGTTAAGTGGTTACCGGAGCCCATAGATATCTACAACGTAAATGCGCCACCCACCTTGAGATATAAGTTCTAAGGTCTATTTCTACCCGTAATCGCATTACTCGATAATATAACACCAGGGGTCTTAACGTTTAGGCCACGAACATTTCACATTGACGAACACGCGCTATATAAATACAATCAATAATCCAAAAGATAATATTAGCAACATGTGGGTACAATTTTTTGTCATAATACTTCATGTGAATCCATGACATCATCTACTCTTACCTTTTTTCATCTGAGGTCGGTAACCTTCCGTATATACTTCCTATCTTAAAGTCAGAAATTCAAGTCATGGTTAATCGATAGGCGGGCCATGGGTTTCGAGGTCATCGCCCCGTTACGTCATCAGTCCGCACCATTCTATTTTTTTGTTTCACTAAGTACCTTAACAAAATCATTCGACATCCCTGATTAGTTTCGAAACAGGCTAATTTCTACCTTACGGACTTGCATTAAGTACTTTCAATGTTGCACATTTTACGTTGTCATAAGATATACGTACGTATTGTATTTAAGAAAAAAAAGTGAATGATTCATTCTTTGCTACCACGCTTGAATTATACGCTCGATACAAAGTTGCAAATTATATCCTCCGATTAATCTTAAATGATTTGTTTGCGGCGTTAAAAAATTCGAATTCAAGCGCTCATTACTCGAGTAGCCATCTTTATTATCTGAAAAAAATTGCAGTTTACGAATTGGAACTAAAAAAAAACACATAAAGTAAGCAAGTAAGCTATTTCGAAAATTTATGAATAGATCCAATTGCAATATCCAATTGCAATATCTTAACATTAACGGAGATATTTTTTTTTTTTATTGCTTAGATGGGTGGACGAGCTCATAGCCCACCTGGTGTTAAGTGGTCACTGGAGCCCATAGACATCCACAACGTAAATGCGCCACCCACCTTGAGATACAAGTTCTAAGGTCTCAAGTATAGTTACAACGGCTGCCCCACCCTTCAAACCGAAACGCATTACTGCTTCACGGCAGAAATAGGCAGGGTGGTGGTACCTACCCGTGCGGACTCACAAGAGCTCCTACCACCGTATTTATAATTACTACATTATTTACGGCAGTCGAAAGAAAATATCAGCGGTTTGTAAATGGTTATTATCGCCAGTGTATGCTTATACCAGTTGTACAGCTGAAGCGCTTCATGTCTTAACAATTAACTCAATTCGTCTTTTCGCATTAAAAGTGTACAATTTCCAAAAATATTCGAAATTTTGTTAATATGCGAAATCATTTGGTATCACCAGTATTTTTCTCATAAATACTGTAAAAAAAAGCGTAGTTTAGTTTTTTTTTTTTTGTTTAACTATATTTTGACTACTATTAAAAAAAAACATAATTTTACCTTACTTTAAAAGACAGATAATGTAACTGGTAAAAGATAAAAAATAAATGTTGCAAAGATGATTCATAAATATTAAAAGTATCATATGTTAAGCCTTTAAAACACTCTCCTGTAAAATTAGTAAGTTTTGTGATTATACAGTTTTAATGCGAGAAGACGAATTGTTGACCTGTAACTAAAATTAGTTGCGTTTTAAACGCAGAGATTGTATAACGCCAGTGTGAAAATCTGTAGACACACGACCGTGAATAGTTTTTATCTGTAAAGAAAGGGTATTCATCTTCTAAAGTCAACGACCCGCAGTGTAAGCTACATGCTACAGCCAACCTCGTTTGATGAGCTAATCAAATA